CAGCCCTATCATCAACATCAGTCCGTTCAAACCAATAATGTTTGTGAAATTCCAGTAAACTGTACTATATCTTCGCATCAGTAAGAGACCTATTATTTTCATGCGAGATTTCTTAAAAGCTGATAACTATACGAAATTGTAGCGCAAGAAATTCTCTATCGAATGGTATATGTATCGTCGTGGCTAGTGGACAAGTGTGGAGCACAGAATCCTCCCCGTTGAATAAATCACCCACTTCTCACGGCTTTTCAGACAGTATTTCTAATGTCAAGGTGCCCTAGGACACCTTTTTCAGTACTTTGTATATATGAAATTGTAGCGCGTGACAACAGTAATAACAACAACCCAATAGTGAAAAGGAGCTAAACCTAACTTAACCATTATAATAATAAAAGAAAAAGAAAAATAATTTCAATAAACAGTCAAAAAAAGAAGAAAAGAAAATACCCTTTGAATAAAAAAATACATAATTAAACTATAATACTTACTGTCACTCAAAACCAAAAATAATAAGGAAATTCTCTATCGAATGGTATATGTATCGTCGTGGCTAATAGACAAGTGTGGAGCACAGGATGATTACCGTTGAATAAATCATCCACTTGCTACGTCTTTGCATAAAGTATTTCTAAGGTCAAGCTGCCCTAGGACGCTTTTTTCACTACTTTGTATATATGAAATTGTAGTGGGGGAAATTCTCTATCGAATGGTATATGTGTCGTCGTGGCTAGTAGACAAGTGTGGAGCACGGAATCCTCACCGTTGAAGAAAGAAGAGCAGAACTTAGGTTTCAGTAAATTCGGCCTAGTTTTTTCTGTGAGCATTTCTAAGGTCTGCCAAGTGGCTAGAAATGTTCTCCGGTTCATTCTGCATCTAACCATGTATGTGTCGATGGAATTTAAGCAGGGGCCGATTTCATCAAGTAATCGCCCCCGTCCTTTATCTAAAATTTGAAATTTTTTTACTACTGTTTTTAACTATCCCAACATTTTGACATTTATTTCTGATAGTAGAATGTCAGTACTATCAGATGACACTAGTTCCTGCTCATTGTACTCACAGATGCTCGGACTAATAAACAAAAATGTCTAGCAGTGAAGGTAAGATCGAAGCACGTATCTCTACGGGACTATTATGCCAATTTGAAAAGTAGATAACTAACCTTGTAGAATGTAAATGATTTTGTATAGTCCGGTAGTCGTCGATCATCAACACATGATCTGGCTTGCTATACAACGTATCCTAATTTGAACTCTTTAGTTTCTACCAATCTGTATGTGAAAACAACGATTGTGACTGTACCAATAAAGGGCCAACGCTGTATTAGCAGATACAAGTTTTTGGATACAAACGGCGTACTTTGATGGGACACAGTAAGCCCTATTTATACACCTGTCTCTCATGCTGAAAATAGAATGATGCGGTAAGAAGTTTGAAACTTGCCTTCTAAATAATGATCTCACTGATGTAGATTAAAGGTGATTATGATTTGACCAAAAGAGGATTAACTCCAAGCGATTCAACACCCAAATAAATATCGGAAAGACGTTAAAGATTTGCTCTTTTGTTAATAAAAAATGACTAAATGTCGATATGAATGCCTTTATTGCTGAAAATAATTCAATTTTAAATAGAAAAAGACTCTAACATAGTTAAGACTGATCCATAATCACATTATCGCATTTGGTCAAAGCAAGACTGAAAATGATGCGTACTTTTTGAAAAGATCGATTATTCAATAGTTGATGTTGTTCTGGTATTCGAATTATGTTTAAGAGAAACGAATAGTCGGTATACTCTACCATCTGATCTGATACACTGAAATAGTTTTGCCGCGGACGCTAACAAGCACTTTGAAAAAATCAATATAAAAACTATTTTTCCGAATGATACACTTTGTATTATGCAAAATTAGAACTCTTCCCATTGAACGTGACACAATAAAGTAAACAAAGGACATTGTATTTTAATCAGAGCTTCAGTTTTCGTATAGAGAAACAAATGAAAAATGTCAGAATGTTAGGTTTTTATTCAACATCAACCTTACCGACCGAATCGTTTGCAGGTAAATGTTTTGAGACAGTGGAGGAAAGTACAATAGGAAGCTGGTTATAAAAGCTTTCCAGCAAATCAAACCTGTTTCTTTTTCGATAGTATAAACGAAACAGTATCATAAATAAAAAGAGAAACAAAAAGTTCTTAAGGGTCCCCCAAGGGTGAAGTGCGTCCCAAGATTTTTAATAGCGGTTTGTCGTAGAGAGCTCATTCTTTTTTTCTTTAAAGGAGGAAAAGAAACTACATAGACTGATCGGTGTCGATTTTTGAATTAGATCTTAGTTTTTTGTCAAACTGAAGGATTTTAGAAAATCCGGGAGGTTTTTTCGAGTATTGGAGGTTGTTGGCTGCCTGGAAAACCAATAAAGGCTTAATTGAAAAATCGGGACCGGTCAGTCCATGTAGTTAGGTGTCTAGATGCTAGTACCTGTTGCTAGACCTTCAAAGAACCGTTTTTTTGGAAAACCAGTTTTTCAGAAACTCTAAAAAATAACAAAAACCTTTTCTTAGCAAGGCATGATTGTAGCCCGCAAATTTCTGATTAAAATGAGACGTCTTCCAGCTCTACACGACCTTTGTTTGCAAAGTTATACAATTTACAAGAAAAAGCAAATTAATTTCTTCTTATTTCTGTAGTTTTGAGCTGACAATGAACATTTAGGGCTTTTCTTGTAAATTGTATAACTTTGCAATGAAAGATGGTGTAGAGCTGGTAGATGTCTCATTTTAATCAGAAATGTGTGGGCTACAATCATGCCTTGCTAAGAAACGGTTTTGATTATTTTTTAGAGTTTGTGAAAAACTGGTTTTCCCAAAACCTGGTACTTGGAAGATCCAGTAGCAGATCTCATGTTGATATTCGAATCAGCATCATCGATAACCTATAACCCACTAGATTTCGGACGGAAAGCGATTTATCACTTGGGAAAGGTCCCTCGTGAGTTGGATACAACAAAATTTTAGAAGATAACTATATGAGCGTGATGAGAATAAATATTCAAAATTAATAATAAATATTTATAATTTCTTTGGTCTCACTGTTCGGTAATATTCTACCGAAAGTGATGTTGATATGGAAAAAGTATTTATACCTCAATATAACATGGGTTAATTTCAAATCGTATTTAACTTGTGTTACAGGCTATCGGATAATCTTTTGCTGAATGCCCAATTTCTTAAATTATTTCAGATTCCATCAGCGTTGGTTAGTTTTGCTTTATAAATGGACAGTAAATCATGAGGTTAACTGGTCCATTTATTTTTGTAGCCAGTGCCTTGAACGAACGTGTAGAAAATGTTCTCTTTCTTGTGGTCCATCGCTTCCAAAATTGTTAGTTTTCCACTAAAACTGCTGAAACTTTTATAGATGACATGGTTTTGTAGTCTAATTTCGTTTATGAAAACAAAAAAGATTTGTAGATGCTTGTTGTAGATGCTGAGGTCTCCAGAGGCTTCCTTAAAAACTGGAGTTATAAAACATTGAAGCCATATAATTTCGATTAGTTTACCGTGTGTGTCAATCAAAACTATGTCATCTATGAAAGTTTCAACAGTTTTAGTGGAAAACTAACGATTTTGCAAGCCATTTTGTTGTGAGCCCATCGAAGGGCGAATCTTTGGAAAACTTAAAATTCAATAACTTGGAAATGGAATAAGCTGTAAAGCTGAAAGTTTTTTGTGAATATCACAGTCATATAGAAGGGCCATAGAAAAGAATTTGAGCTCTTAATTACTTTTCTTGATAGAGTTATGAATTTTTTACTTTTTCCGTATTTTTCTATAAAAAAATAAAAAAACCACTATAACTTTTGATCAAAGCACTATGGGCCATTATATAGCGGTTCATTAAGGTAGCTAGATTACGTAAAAAAACTAAAAAATATTATCAGTAAAAATTCTCAAAGGATAGGGTAGAGCAAAGCTTTGGTATCGTATTGTAGGGGTAAGAATTAACAAACAGCTATCTTTCATATCTCTAGTGAAGAGTAATTAGCAGCAAAATTGCAGTACATGGTCCTTCAATGATATAAAAACATTTAGATGCTGTGGTAATCTTGACTATTTCACACAAAGATGTGAAGCAAGCCTGAACACAACTGATTTTAAATAGTTTTCATTCAAAAAATTTCGATTCTATATGATGTCAGTAATATTCATGTCTTCATTTTGATGGAATTTATTCTGATTGATTCATCGGTGTAGATCTCTTTTCTTTGATTAATCAGTAGATTTACGTTGATGATGAGACAATTTTATCCTCAAATACGGTTAATATAAACATGATGAATACGCCAAATAAATAGCCGAGAGTAACTAAGGTAAAACGTAAAAATGTAAACTTTTGGTTTTCAGGCATCAGATTGGGCCACTAAAATTGATGATCAGAGTAATTTATGTTGAAACTGAAAAGTACTTAGACTACAACCATCATTTCATATGCAAAATTTTGTTGATAAATCGTTGCTTTCTGTGTTTATTTTAGGTAGAGTCTCTGTACATTAGCTTCACGACATGACCAAGTGATTTGCGAATAGTTTCAATTTATGAAATGGATAACTATACGTACAAGATCAACAAGTGCTATGTACAAAAATGTTCCTAATGTAATTGCGAATATCCATACTCGAATATAATCATTCTGTGAAATAGATACGCCAATAAAAAATCCAATCATTGCTGTACATGCGGAGATAAAATTGAATAACAGTGCTTTTTTCCGTGTGAAGCCAGATTCTATTAACACCATATATTCTCCTAAAATATGTAGACAATAACAATCTACTTGTAAATTAAATAGACTGAAGCCTACCAAGTTCGGTGGGTAATTCGTGACAGGCAATCGCAATCGCTGTTGTAACACCAAATAGTATATCTTGAGAGAACGCTGCACCAATGGCTAAACCATCTGCCACATTATGAATACCATCTCCAACAATTATCATCCAACCCGTAGCTGAAATAACAATTAAATAATATCACATTCGGCCTTAGAAATAAAATCATCATGTTTAAAAACAAAATTTACATTTTTGCGTTTGACTCTCAGGTGCCGTGCGATAAGCATCAAACTTGACTGTTAGATCCGTATTGGTACGTTGTCTGGTTTCAGAATTATTGAAAGTGTTATTGACTGGAATCGAATAGGGTATCTCCGATAATGTTCCTTTTCTGTCGGGCAAATTATATGACTGTAAAAGATGAACAATAGAAGGCAAAAATACATAAATGTACGTTTACGTTACATGATTGTGTCGATGTTTTGCGAATACACGCAACATCAATTCAAGAACGTAAAATGCATATGCAGCTAGAGAAGAAATATTAAAGGTTCTTATTTTATTCAGAGATTAAATTGTTAAATTGTTTACTTAGAACGACTATCAGCATATGCCACATATACAATGGAATATGGATTTTATTTTCTTCGTTGACGATCTCCTCGTTACCTGTTGTTCCATGTTCATGTTTATGAGAGACACTATTAGCTCTCTCTTGATGATATAAATCCAATATCTTGAACAGAGAACTATAGATATACAACATTATTCAGTTTAAACTGTCACAGACTTATACAAATGGCATCAATTGAAATACACTATCCCCAAGTAATGTTCCAACAGCAACAGATGTAAAAAATGCATTTATATTTTGATAATATGGCTTGTTCATACATCGAAAGGCCAAAAAACCAGCTAGAGATAATGCTGATATAATAAATACGGATAAAAAACCATAACCATATTCTAAAATCATTGATTCAAATTAGAACTATAATACACTTCATAGTAAGCATCCAGATGAAACATCTGACAAAAAAGTGAAAGTGTTATTTTTCCAGTTCTTCCTATTGGGTGATAAACTTTGAGGCGACAGTTAACCAGGACAATAAGAACGCCCGTCGTAAACGTTTACTTATACGGTCACAATGAGTCGCAACCGGTTATATTTGATTGTAAATCGTCGTATACGATGATTGTAAAGAAAATATTTACGACTGTTCATAATGTACGATTTTTATAAAAATGCATAAACTCAGGCCGAAGAATCGTACTAAGATTGTACACGATCGTACAAAAAGTAAGAAGTGATATGATTCCTACTGTAGGATCGTAGGATTTACAATTTTGGTACGGGTCTGATTATATGTCGGTCAGGTATTTCGTGCAGTAGAATTCGTACGAAATCGTTTTGGTAAAACTCGTACGTGAACATGTAGTATAATTTCATCTGATTTGAATCGAAATCGTACTCTTTAGATCATTTTTTTGCTTTTGCTGCGATTTATACTTGAAATGTTAGAAAAAAGCTTAATTTCGAATTCAACTGACTTGTTTAGTGTCAGAAATATATTCTTGCAGAAAATTCACTTTAATTTCATAGCACTAGCTGCTTAGCAACACTGTCTACTGTCCTCGCGATGTCACGCGATGCTCAACCCATTTATTTGTTTCTGGCCTTTCTTTAAATTGAATTCTGATTATTTGATAACACAGTTTTACTACGACATTCAGAATTCAGAAGAAAGCAGCGCTCATTCAGAAGATTAGGGACAGAAGGAAGTCTTTCCTTTTACTGTCAGTGGATTTTTAACTTGAGCGCTATGTTGTAGGATTTTATTTAGTTTGATAACAAGATTTACGCTTGAAGCTTCGCCTAAGCGCACTTTCGAAAGTTGGATTAGGGTGAATCAGAGCTACAAGGATCATAGCTAGGGGTATTAATTAAGTTTAATTTTAGAAAATAAATATAAATTCGTCTTTTATATTTAACAAATAAATATAAATAAATGAAAAATTTATTTTTATAAAATAAAGAAATAAAGATTCTATTTTTTTATGCTGTTTCAAGTGAATGTACAAGCCAGAAAATTTTAGTATGTCATCGTTGATGCCCTCACCCTCATCTCAAATCGTGAGCTGATTATTCCTGTTCAGTTGTCATAATAAAGTAGTTCGTCTGAATAATAACAAATTCTGCTGTCTTAGAACATTCCATCCCTACTACATATGCATCATAAAATCAAATCCTTATTTCTTTATTTCACCTTTATTTTTATAAAAATAAATCATTCATTTATCTTTAATATTTAAAATCATTAATCTTTTATTATTTAAATATAAATGACAAATTTATATTTATCTATTATTATAAATGAACAATAAAGCTAAACCAACATCTCTAATCATAGCAACGTGTAGAAGAGAAAATCACCTGCTGGAGAATTGTCTAAAAAATCTGTATTAAGACACATTTTTTCAGACTTATTCTTGAAAGGATCAGCGAGAAAAACGAGCAAAACACAGTCAGAATCATGTATCATTCGTATGTAGGATCGTATAAAATCAGGCACGATCTTATATAATCAATCTTACTATTTTATATGTAAAATCTCATAGGGTACAATGCAATCGTATCTGATCATATCCGATCTTGAACGATTCTTCGACCTGGGAATGTTCTTGCACTGCACAACATGTCTTCTGAAAACCCCTTTTACTCATTGGATTCTCTTAAATTCTGGTAGAATCACAGTTGTGAAGAATTGGACCAGAATCTGCCAATCCGTAGAGAATGTAAAAGTGGAGGGAAGGAGAAAGAGACTTGAGAGAATGCTATTTTCATATGTAGAAAGTGACTTCTATTGTTAGTCTACATCAATAATAATCATTGTAATGATAAAACCTGATGAGATGCCTAGTGAAAATCCTCACCGAGCTCTTACTGAATACAATTCTATGAAAAATGATGGAATCAGCATTATTACCGAAATTATTGGCTGCTTCTCATTGTTTCTGTCAAAGAGTATTAATGTATACATTCTAAAGTTCTCCTCCCAAGTATTCAAAACCATATCAAGCTTTGCCTACGAATAATTATTAGAATCACTTCGCTTTCTTTCCCGCTTAGCGATCTTAAACTCACTTTTACTGTCATGTAAGATTATATTATTAAAAAATTACTGTCATCACATACATTTTAGAAAACTACATCTGAGTATTTATCATTATTTTCAAATCTTTTATTCTAATATCAGTTATATCGGTGATAAAACAACCCAGGAGAAAAAAAGTAGACTTTAGACTTTCAAGCTTTTATGGATTTCAATGGGCTTGCGTGAACTTATATGGGCTTTTAAAGCTCAAAGAGTACAAAGTCCAACGAACTGGTATTTGTAAAGTCCATTGGACTCTACTAGTTTATTAAAGTCTTCAAAGGCTACAAAAGTCCACGTAAGTCTACGTAGATCCATAAGATTCCTGGACTCGTAGAGACTTATGTGAATTTATATGGACTTTGAAAATTCATAACTGGAACTAACTGCTATCTTTTCTCCCTTGCCAAAAACTCAGTACAATCAATATATTTTAATTTTTGTAGAAATATTATTTTGTCCATTCTCTAAAATGTTTCCTTCGAAATCTAGTCTTAAACAAGAAACTTCAGACTATATGACAAGATGGTTCATAGCTCTTTGCATTCAGGATTCAATGAGGGAGAGTGGTAACAAGATTTGTTCAGAATAGAAATTGTGTTTTTTTTCTATGATATTTATTATCTGAAAAGCTAGACTAGTTTTGAAGCTATCAAAATATAATTTTTTACGGTAGTGCATTGCGAGATAAACTTGCTTACTTTGTGCTGTTGTGGGATGTTTATTGGGAATTACTTCCGTTGTTTCATGTTCACGGCATGATTTATTCAATAATTCTTCGACAAAACTGATATGGCATTCTGCAATAAATTCTACTTCAGAAAAATTTTTCATAGATTCTAATACGCTTCCATTCGCATACGTTAATTGATAGCGAGTGGACGAAGATAAACACTAATACGAAAAACTAAGCTTTAAACATTCTTTTTCCATTGTTTGTGTATTTACCTCCTTTTCTTGAGCATATATATTTGAATTAAATAACCATAACCCAATAAAAGCCACAGCCAAGTCGAATACAACAATAGACATCTAGAAAATAGGGAATATCTCTTTCTGCATATGTTCTCTGTTTCTTGACCAGACAAATCAAATGTCCTTTTAGTCTATTTTAGAGGAAGAATGAAAGGTATGTGGCAGAAAGAAAAATATCACATATATTCGCACAAGATTTATCATGTGCAAACATTGCCGCAGATTTGATATGCACAGCAGAGGCGAGATCAAATTGCGTTTTTTTTTATTAGTATATCAGGACAATGCATTTGCTACTTTCATCCGTGGGTAACAGCAAAAGAAATATATCCTTATTTGCTAGATGTCGAATGAAATTTGTTCTAGGAATGAAGATCTGGCGAAGTCCTTTGTTAATATGGAGGATTTATGGAGATTTCTTCCAGCCGATCTTTGTAAGCATTTGAGGATCTTCGTGCTGATTAGCTAGTAATCAGGACCAGAATGAAAATACAGAACTAATACTCAACTACAGAACAAAATACTCGAAACCGGCCGACAATTTTGAGGCCTGGTTTGCCTGCGTCAGGCCTGTAATGTTTAGATCTGCCTGGGTCTGTCGAAATATTTCCTGGGCCTTGCCTGCCTGCCTGCCTGCCTGCCATTTCTCTCTGCCTACCCTGGCCTGGTCTGTAGATACCTGGTAATTTTTTTAATAAACAAAATGTACAAATAATAGTAACATAAGGTGGAAAGAAAAGTGACAGATAACTAAACAATATATCTAAGTAAAAGAATTTGAATTTTGTTCAAGTATTTTCTGAACTGATCTAACTAATAAGATATCCTCAACCGTGTCAGAATTTAGTGATCTATTCCAGTCTAGTACATAGTTTCACACTGTGAAACTCCCAAGTCATAACGACATCTACAGCCGAAATGCTAGATTATGCTGTTCAGAACTCAAGGAAAACTTGTCCGATCTTTCATCTTTACACAATTTCTTAGAATTTTCATGATCTAATTGAGGTTGGCTGGTCGAATCCCTGTTATCATTTTTCTGTTCAATACTTCACAGTATTAGTAACACGGATACGTTGTTTTTAATTTATTTAATCCTTTGGCGACGGGAAGCCCATATATAGGCAAATGTAGCGACACTCCTGTAACTCAAGAATCAAAAGAGCTAGTGACTTCTAATTTTATGTGGTCATAGCTCTTACCGAATGCTGATCATTCACCAAATCTAGGTCTCTTTTACTGGATGGTTCGTGAGATATAAATGATTTATTTCTTTTCCGTAAAATATCAATAGCTCTTCATCTAAGAAAG